CCTACCCCGACGATACAACTGATGCCGACGCCCACCGTACTCCGACAAACCTCCAATGGCCACCGGTGAACCTCCAGGGACAGCGGCGTTCGTATTTCAGGTTAGCAATTTCTCTTAACCCAAGTTCGTTTTTCTCCCCTAAAAAAAGTCGAGTTCTTGTTTGTTCATTGAAAGTCCACTTCCGATAATGTTATACAATTGATTTGTTCTTTCGTTTTAGAATCTTGTTTAGAATTGATTTCATTTGTTAATTCTTGAAAGTTGAAACAATATTCGAATTTGTAAATAGTGGCCGGCCATGTGGGTTTATGTAGCACATGTAAAAGCCAATATTCATGGCTTCCTTTTTTCGGTTAAACACGAGACACAAGTATATGCCATAAATTTCCTTTTTTTTATTATTTTCTTAGTAATTTATTATAAATATATTAGAAACAAGGTTTGTGTTGTGTTGGAATATAATTTGAATTTGTCATTTGGAAAGATAACAAAGGACTAATATGTTAACTGTTGATGTGCTGAATATAGTTTCCATAGTTTCCACAAACTTACAAAGAAAGAAAATATATTCTCAAAGAAGCCTACATGCTTCTTCAAGATTACAGCTAAACATTAGCTTGACATTTTTGCTGTGATATTTTGATGTCTGCTGAAAATTTATGATTTATGTTGTATATTTCTGATGTATTTTTTTGGTATGTATAACAGTGTTCAATCATGACATCTAAAAATTCGACTTCACCATCGGTGGGATCAACCGCCATCGGTTCTCATTTGAAAAAGATTGTAATGAGGATTCTTTCTTTAACTAGTAGCTCATCGGGTTGTGAAAGAAATTAGAGCACGTTTGAAGCGGTTAGTTATAAAGTTGTAATATTTAAATATCAAGAATGTTTTTAACCTTTTGTTATGTGTAATTTTATAGGTACACACGAAGAAACGAAATAGATTGGAGACAAATAGATTGAACAATCTTATTTATGTTCAATTCAATGCTAATCTAATGGAAAAAAACAAAAAGAGAAAAGATAGGACTTTGGAAGTGCTTTTAGCAAATGATTCTCACTCGGCTCAAGAATGGATTATAGATGGAGATGACGGTGATGGAGATGAAGTTGACCCCGAATCAGTTATGGAAGCGATTGATGAAGCTCTCGAGACTAATGATAATCAAGTACCCCGTAAAAGTTCAACAACAAGAGAACTTTATGATGAAGATTTCAAATCCGAGAATGAGGAGCAAGTGTTTGAAGAAGATGAATATGAGTCAGATGGAGTTAAAATAGTGGAAGAACTTGAAGATTAGAAGAATATTTAAATGTATGAAAATGTGTGTTTTTATTATTATTAAACTTATTTTGGACTTGTAATATGATGGATTATGACTTCAATGTTTAAATACTAGTTATGACTTTTTGTATGGTTATTTGCTTATTTTATGACTTTTTGTATGGTTATTTGCTTATTTTATATTAATTTTTTATTAATAATTAATGGTCCCCGATTAATCTCCGATTAATCTCCGTCGAAACCGATTAATCCCTTAACCCCAGTCGACCGCCAAGCTACCGTCGAGCGATTTCTGCAACCTTGATATTAATGATGATTAGTTTTTTTTTTCGTAGGAGGTTTGTATTTGAGTTTTATAATTTGTAACTTTTAATTATTAGGACTTTTGAAAAATTAAAGATTAAAGACTAAACAGCACAAATGGTCCCTGTGGTATGTCGAAAATTGCCACTTTGGTCCAAAAAGGTTTGGACTAGCACCAGTGGTCCAAAACTTTCATTTTGTTGCGTCTTTGGTCCAATCTTTTCTGAATATTTTCAAAATGACGGATCTGCCCCTGTTAATATGATTTTCTCTTTTTTCTTATTTGTTTTTCTGATTTTCTGATTTAAAAAAAAACAAGAAAATAAAAATAAAAATAAAAATAAATCTCTCTCTCTCTCTCTCTAAAACAATAAAATAAATCTCTCTCTCTCTCTCTCTCTCTCTCTCTCTCTCGTTGAAATCCATTCCCCTCTACTATGTACCTTATTTTTTTTTTCCCCACAAAAGAAACCTCCACCATCCACCATAAACCATCGACCGCCGCCTTTGGCAGGCCATCCTCACCAATTTCAGCATCATCAAGCACAACCCACAACTTCATCTTCTCCGGTCATATTACATCCGAGGAGATGAGTGTGTCTCGCATCCATCTTAACCACTATTCAGGAGACCAAACTCACTCACATTCATCACCATACTAGCCACCAGAAACTACCACCTGGTTGGAGAAAGGAAACGGTGGAGTAGAGGGTGGTGGGCAAACCCTATATCATCGAGTGACTACTTCAACAAGTCGAACCCGCTATCATAGCAGCGACGACGGAGAAGAAGGGAAAACCCTAACAGGATCCGACGGAGAAAGAGAAACAACGGTTTGGGAAAATTACGCACGGTCAAGATCGGTTTATAGCACCATCCCCATTCTCAGTTCGTCTTCTCCAGCAGTTCAGATCTGTTCGTCCTCGTCCTCGTTCTCGTTTGGGAAAATTACATACAGTCGAACCCGCTATCGATTTTTCAGATCTATTCAGCGCCACCCCATTCTCAGTTCGTCCTCGTTGCTGCCCTTGCTGCCTCATGTTTTGATTTCCTTCCGGCGAGAACGAAGTGAAGGGAAGGGAGTTGGGTTGGGTTTGATCCGTAAAGGCAGTGGGGGAGTAGAGGGTGGTGGGCATTTGTGGTGGTGATGTGGTGGAGCAAGGTGGTCCTCGGTGGTTTTGGGGTATTTCTTGGTGCCGCCGGTGGTCAGGGAATGAAGCAGCAACGAGGGGTGTTTGGATGGTGTTTCTCCGATGAGTGGGTGATGGAGGCTGCTTCCTCCTTTTGGGTTTCACAAAAAAAAACAAAGTGGTCGTTTATGAGAGAGAGAGAGAGAGAGAGATAGAGAGAGTTTTGTCTTTTAATTTTTTTAATCAGTGAAATATTTAAATAGATAAATAAAATTGAAAAAGGAAAAGGTAAAGGTAAAATCGTCATTATAAAAAAGTTTAAAGCAAATTGGATTAAATTTGCAACAAAATGAAAAGTTTGGACCTCTGGTGCTAGTCCAAACTTTTTTGGACCAAAGTGACAATTTTCAGCTAACCACAGGGACCATTTGTGCAGTTTTGTCTTTATTTTTTATATATTTAAAAAAATTAATAGACCCCACATATTTGTATCTCCTCGGATGATCCACTGTTTATTTTTTAATTAATTTATTTTTTTAACTCGGATGGTCTCTACTGTTTAATTTTGTTACGAGTTTGGTCTCTGTCTTACCTAAAAAGACTATTGTGCCCTTATTAATTTATTTTTTTAATTAATTGTCTTGTTTATGTACTTATGCTTTATATATTTAAGAAAATTTAGTAGACCCCACATATCTGTATCTCCTCACCATCCCATCTCTCATCCTTCTCAACTTCTATTTATTTTCCATCTTTAGTGATATCGACGTCTTCATCATCCCTTCTTTTTTTCGGTCTTTCAACTTCGTCGAATCAACACCACAACCCACTAAAGATGAAGAGACGATAGGTTATGGTGTTGGTTCGCCAGAGTTGAAGTACCAAAAAAAGAAGGATGGTGAAGACGTCGATGTTACTAAAGATGGAAAAGAAATAGAAGTTGGGGACGATGAGAGATGGGATGGTGACCGGTATGACCCAATTTAAATTTCTCAAATGTGGTTTCAGGTTTACGATGAGTAGATACACATATGTGGGACCAAACGCGTAACAAAAATAAACAGTAGGGACCATCCGAGTTAAAAACATAAATGAATTAAAAAATAAACAGTAGAGATCATCCGAGGAGAGATACAAATATGTGGGTTCTATTAAATTTTTTAAATATGTAAAAAATAAATACATAAATAAGAAAATTAATTAAAAAATAAATTAATAAGGGCACAATAGTCTTTTTAGGAAAGACAGAGACCAAATGCGCAACAAAAATAAACAATAGGGACCATCCAAGTTAAAAAAAATAAGTTAGGGACCAAAAACACAAATTCTCCCAAACCACAGGGACCATTCGTGTAATTTAATTTTTACTTTTCGTTTTGTTCATATTTTGGTAACTATTTTTTTTTACACATCTAGGTAACGAACTTGTCGAAAGCGTTCACATCTAGGATTTAACCTGCTATAGCAGGTTATAATGGTCATATGTGAACACTTTCAACAAGTTTGTTATCCAGATGTGTACAAAAAAAAAGATAGTTACCCAGATGTGAACATACCGAAAAGTTAATTACCTTAATAAGTCATATTCCCAAAAGAATACACTAGGTGTATACCCGCGCAAAGCGGCGGCGACAATTATTATTGTTTCAATAAATGGTTTTTTTATTCAGAAAATGTTATTTAACTATTTCAATGGCTATAAATTTTCTGGTTGATATGTTAATAAATTTTCATGTCAACCTTTAGACAAACATCATGCCCACGTTAAAATAGAAAAAATAATAATTGATGTTTCCTTTCTTCAATATTTTCGTTGATTATTTTTTACCACAATTAGTTTTTATTCATAAAAAGATAAATGGTTTGTGCATAACAGATTTGTATATTAAGTTATCAAGCTGTACCTCTTAAATTTCAAGAAAAAGTTAAATATCATTTACTATAGTTAAGATAAGATAAGATAAGATATATATAAAGTCGATTTAGCCTATAAAAAAAATTAAGACGATTTACTGTATCTGTGTTAGTTTCGTAATTATCTTTTTTAAAATGGACTAATGCCGTTTAGGGCCGGATAACAACAGAGAATCGATCATTCACGTCTCTTATAAAATTCGTGTGCTAATTAGCTGCTCATCAAAGTCTCAAATCATTTAATCATCTCTCTCCTTCTCCTCTCCCTATCTTACTTCCTCTCTCTAGAAATATCTGTATTTTAAATTATTTTTGTTTGGTTCATGATTCAAAAGATTGGCGAATCACAGCGTTTTGCTTCACATGGTGGCTAACGTACAAGAACTTTCGAAGATCGAAGTTGCAGAGGAGAAAGAAGAATGCATCAATGAGAAAGTTTGAAGATTCTGTTTAATTTATATGAATCTTAAGCGGTCAAAAGAGAGATAAGTCCATTAAATAGTGTAATTATGTAAGTATATGCTTATTTAATTTCGATGTGTATCAATTTTCTTCTGATTTCAAGTGATTTGAAGTTTAAACTGGTGTTTTGCTTGAATAGTGCTGATTCGAGATTTTGTTTTTGCAAGTATAGAGATTCATGGAGAATAATGTTGAGAATAATGTTGATATCGAAAGTGAAGGAGGAGAGAAGTTGGAGACAAATGGATCGATTTTTGAGGATAGGGATATGATACGAGAGCCATTGCTTTTGAAGAGCAGAGTCAATACGACGTCGCAGATTGCCATCGTTGGTGCTAACGTTTGTCCAATCGAGTCTCTTGATTACGAGTAATTCTTCACTCTTACTGTTCGTATTACTGATTTATATTCATAATCAAGTCCTATACATTTAATGGATTGTGATCCTTCGTATACGTGTGTGAATATAGTAATACTTTCACCAAAAAAGGAAAAGAATATTAAAAAGCGATGACAAAGTAAAGCTACTTTTCAGAGTTTTAAGCTTTTTCCCTCACCGATTTGTTTTGCTTTTTGGACTTTCGATTTCTCAGAAGTGAACGATTGCTTTTGGGAAAAAGCCGATTAAGTTATATGATTAGCGTGTTCATTAGGTTGACCTTGAAATTCACCTTCTTTTTTAATTGAATGGACATGTTATGAAAAGAACATGAGTGAATTATAAATATAAACACTAAATCTCGTGATCTTAGTCAAATCAATCAAGATTTTTTTGAATAAGATAACTGTAAATGTTTAACCAATAAACTTGATCCACAATTTCTGCAGGATTGTGGAAAATGATCTGTTTAAGCAAGATTGGAGATCCAGGAAGAAGGTGCAGATATTTCAATATGTTGTGTTGAAGTGGACGCTTGTACTTCTTATAGGAATTGCTACAGGGCTTGTTGCCTTTTTCAATAACATTGCAGTTGAGAACATTGCTGGTTTCAAGCTTCTTCTCACTGGCAATCTTATGCTTAAGCAAAAGTAAGCCTAAAATCTTGTCAACCTTTTGCTGTTATATATTAACTAACTTTCTATAGAGCTTATTTAGAATTGGTTTTCATACTTATGAATTTGACTATATTGTAAATACAGTTATTATCAGGCATTTGCTGCATTAGCTGGTTGTAACGTGGTGCTTGCAACTTGTGCTGGTGTTCTTTGTGCCTATGTTGCCCCTGCAGCAGCTGGTTCTGGTATACCTGAGGTTAAAGCTTATCTCAATGGTGTTGATGCCCATTCTATTCTTGCTCCAAGCACCCTCTTTGTAAAGGTTTGTAGCATATGCACAATAATATGGTTTCTCTCTCCCTCTCTTTCATTTTCTTTAGTTATAGAAAGAAAATTTTCAAAAGTAGAATGGTATAATAAGATTGTTTTGATATATTTGATCAGATATTTGGATCAATCTTTGGAGTTGCTGCTGGATTTGTTGTGGGGAAAGAAGGGCCCATGGTTCACACCGGGGCTTGCATAGCCAACTTATTAGGTCAAGGAGGTTCACGAAAGTACCATTTAACATGGAAATGGCTTAGATACTTCAAAAATGATAGAGACCGAAGGGATTTAATCACCTGTGGTGCTGCTGCGGGTGTAGCCGCTGCTTTTCGGGCCCCAGTTGGCGGTGTCCTCTTTGCCCTTGAAGAAGCCGCCTCATGGTATTAAATCATTTTTGGTTGTTTCTTTTATATTCTATTAAGTCCTTTAGGGACCTAAAGTAGTTGAATGAGTAATGATATATGTCTGAATAAACCGTTTGAATGAGACTAAATGACCAATTTACCCCAAAAAGCAAATTTCACAATAGTCATTCTATATAGATTAAGTAAAAAAGAAACAACCATGTATACCTGTTTAGATCCATTAAGCTCATTAAGTAAAAAAGAAAGTACCCTTTATTTTTTTTATTTTTTTTGCTTATGGAATATTTAAATCTTATTTCTAATTATCTTGTAGGTGGAGGAGTGCTCTTCTATGGAGAACTTTTTTCACTACTGCTGTAGTAGCTGTGGTTTTGAAGTCTTTAATAGAATACTGTAAAAACGAAGAATGTGGATTATTCGGTGATGGAGGTCTCATCATGTTCAATATCAATAATTCGGTTCCTGCTTACAACACTATTGATCTTTTAGCCATTATTCTACTTGGAGTCATCGGGGGCATTTTCGGAAGTATCTACAACTATCTGGTCGACAAGGTCTTGCGTACTTATAGCATCATCAACGAGTAACTCCCTTATCATTTTCTTTTCTTCTTTATTAATATAAGTAATATCATACATTTTTATGATCTTGATACTTGATTCATGATGTAAATTGCAGGAAAGGTTCGGCTTTCAGGGTGCTTTTGGTAATTATCATTTCAATTTTGACTTCTTGTTGTGCATTTGGTATCCCATGGCTTGCAAAATGCATCCCGTGTCCCCCTAATGTAGGCGAAGAATGTCCGACAAAAGGACGAACCGGAAGCTACAAAAGCTTCCAATGTCCCGCGGGTCACTACAATGATCTCGCTTCACTTCTACTCACAACAAACGATGATGCGATTCGTAATCTCTTTAGTTCTCTTAATACAAACGAATTCCGCCTCACAAGCCTTCTACTCTTCTTCGTTGCAATGTACTTCCTCGGAATCATAACCTACGGAATCGCGATTCCGTCCGGTCTCTTCATTCCGGTCATCCTCGCCGGAGCTTCATACGGCCGCCTCGTCGGCCGCCTCCTCTCCCCCATCGCGAACCTCGACGTCGGCCTCTTCGCTCTGCTCGGTGCCGCCTCGTTCCTAGGCGGGACCATGAGAATGACTGTCTCGTTATGCGTGATCCTTCTAGAACTCACCAACAATCTGCTAATGCTTCCGTTAATGATGCTTGTACTTCTCATTTCAAAAACCGTAGCCGACTGTTTCAACAAAGGCGTATACGACCAAATCGTGATAATGAAAGGGCTACCGTTTCTCGAAGCGCACGCGGAACCCTACATGCGGCATTTAGTCGCCGGAGACGTCGTTTCCGGGCCGTTAATCACGTTTTCCGGGGTCGAAAAGGTTGAAAACGTAGTCCATTCGTTAAGGATGACGTCGCATAACGGTTTTCCGGTGATCGATGAGCCACCGTTGACCGATGCACCGGAGTTGTGTGGGCTTGTGTTGCGGTCTCATTTGCTTGTTTTGCTTAGCGGGAAGTTGTTTACGAAACATAGGCGGTTGAGTGGGGCCGAGACGTTGAAAAGGTATCATGCGTATGATTTTGCAAAAGCGGGGTCCGGGAAAGGGCTTAAGCTTGAGGATTTGGAGATTAGTCCGGAAGAAATGGAGATGTATGTTGATTTGCATCCGATTACAAATACATCTCCGTATACGGTTGTGGAGACTATGTCTTTGGCTAAAGCTGCGGTTGCTTTTAGAGAACTCGGACTTCGACATTTGTGTGTAGTGCCAAAAACTCCCGGGGTAAGCTTTCGTATTTTTTTTAAGGGTAAATTTCTTTTTGGACCAAAATTGCAAAGATAAACTAAACTTAGGGACCAAAAATAGTCATTTTACAAGAACCTAGATCGAAATTGTAAGAGAACATTTTTTAGGATCAAATTTGCAAAAATCAGTTGTACTTTGGGACTAATAATAATAAATACGGTGTGATGATGTTTGCAGAGGCCACCGATAGTTGGTATCTTGACACGACATGATTTCATGCCGGAGCACATTTTGGGACTCTACCCGCACATCGACCCACACAAATAGATGAAAAGGGCAATATAGTCAAATCATGAGCTACCCTACCACCATACAAAGGTGATATCGTGGATTATGAATTTCAGCTAATGCTGAGGTTAAATATGTATTTATGGTCCGAGGATGTTGTGATTCTTTAGTGACGTGCAAAAATAAGCATATTTGGCAGTTTCTTTATTTGTTCGTTTGTATTTTATTTTCTTTTGTGAAAGTGTTTTTGAGGGAGGAAAGGAAAGGAGAAGTGTAGAGTATTCTTTGAGGTTGTATTTGCTGTAATATTATGAAATGAACAGAAACTTGATCTTATTCATATGTTAATATGTTATGCAAAGTGTGTTCTTGTAATTTTCATATGAAATGAACAGAAACTTTCATATGTTGGGTTTTTTATTTGGCCTTTTTCTAATATTTTGTAATGATTAAACTTTGACATATATGCTACAAAACCAATAGTTATATACTTGTATTGAAAGTACTTTCGAACCTTCCACTTCTATTCAAACATTTGGTTTCTTTGTTATGTGTTTAATTGACCAAGTCAAAAGTTGAATCAGAATGACAAGTTGGGAAAGTTATTTCAAAAAAGACTAAAATAGTTGTTTTCCTTTGATTTACCAAAAAATTAATCCAAATTTTATCATGTTTCTTAAAATTCAGCACGGACCAAGTTGAAACGCTAAATGGCCAAACCATTAAGCCATATTTTGGATATTTCACGGGTTTTTGGCAAAAAAAACTTATTACTTATTAGCTTATAAGCTAATAAGTTAGAGGGTATTAATTTATGAAAAAATAATTTATTAGCGTTTTGTCATCGTTATAAATTATTTTTATCAAAACATTGTTTTATCTTGTAGCGATGTGGAACCGTTAATTGTTAAGGGATGTGATTTCCTGTATGTCAAGGTATAAATACAAGGTTGCCTTCTTGGGCAAGTACATACAAGATACGTATAGAGCTAATGGGTCTATCAATACAATACAAGTACAAGTAATACACCATATAGTCCACTAACAGCCCCTCGTAGTTTGATCAGGAGGAAAGTTTCGTATGCTCAAACTGGAATTGAAATCATTGAAGAGTTGTGACGATAAACCTTTGGTGAAGATGTCGGCGTACTGTGCGGAAGACAGAACATAGAAAACTCGAACGAGGCTACGAGCAACTAAGTCACACACGAAATGAATGTCAATCTCAGTATGCTTCGTGTGTTGGTGCTGAACTGGATTCACAGTCATGTAAACGGAACTGATATTGCCACAGTAGAAAATAGTAGCTTTGGTTAGCGGACACCGAAGCTCACAAAGGAGGTTGCGAACCCATCATGTCTCGGCGACGGTTTTAGCAACGCCACGATACTCCGCATCGACACTAGATCGAGAAATGACTCCATGTTGTTTGGGAAGACCATGAAATGAGGTTGTCACCTAGAAATACACAATAGCTAGAGGTTGAACGACGAGATACCGGACTAGGGATGTCAACGGGACCAAACAGGAGCGGAAATAGTTGCCCCTGCCCGGCCCCCGAAATCAGTTATTGCCCCACGCCCCCGAATACCTTCATCACCCTCGATCCCGCCCCCGTTTTATAGGCTTAAATTTGACTTTTTTTGCTAAAAAAAATTATTATATTTTGTTAAAAAAAATTGTTATATTTTGGGCTAAAAAACTATTTTTCATAACTTTAAAAGCTTAAAATCTAGTTTTTTAACAACTAAAAAAATTAAAAATCCAACATTACAAATTCAACATTACAAAACGACAAATCCAACAAACGTACAAATATAAAATACGACAAATCCGACATTACAAAAAAAAAGTACGACATGTCCAAAAATATACAATTTACTTTCGTATCGTGTATGTTTTGAAATGGAAGAAAGTCAATAAACCCTAAAATTAGATAATGTATTGTCTATATATATTTATATATATATATATATAGACACACACACACAAACGGGGCCCCCACGGGAGTACGAGACGGAAATACCCACTCCCGCCCCTGCCCCCGCCCTTAAATTTTTTAAAAAATTACTCCCGTACGGAATTCGAGTCTCACGGAAGTTTTTGACATCCCTAGACGGGACAACCACCACAATTTGCATCCGAGTAAGCACGAAGATCGGAGGATGGTGACACATAAATCTGTAGACCGTGATGAAGGGTCTTGCGGAGATAAAGCAAGATGCGTTTGAGAGCATGAAAATAAGGCTCTTGTGGGTCATGCATAAAGAGTCAGATCTGTTATACTGCAAAAGCAATATCCAGTCTGGTGATTGTAAGGTAGTGAAGCACACCGACGAGGTTGTGGTAGTAAGATGGATCAGTAACTGGAGGGTCAGTGACATCCAACTTATGTGTGGTATCGGCAGGTGTACGAACTATATTGCACTGAAGCATGTGATCACGCTCTAAGATCTCAACAAATATCCCAAGAAAGTAGTTGAGAGCACCAAGATCAGTCGTGTCGAACTCTCTTCTGAGCTGTGCAATAATAGACTGAAGCAAAGACGTGGAGGATGCAGTTAGGACAATGTCATCAAGATAAAGTAAGAGGTATGTAGTGTCAATTCCATGGTGATAGATAAATAAGGATGAATCAATAAGATTGTGATGAAACCCCATGTAAGCATCATGCTAAGCGAAACGCTGATACCAAGTATGTGGGGTCTGTTTAAGGCCATATAGAGATCTCTAAAGGTGACAAACATAATCCGAATGTTAAGAATCTCGAAACCCTAAGGGTTGGTGCATGTAAACTGTCTCTTGAAGATGACCATAAAGAAATGCATTCTTCACGTCAAGTTGATGGATATGCCAATGTCGAAAGACTGCCAAGCTGAGTATATTACATATGGTGGTCGGTTTGACAACCGAACTAAAAGTCTCATCACAATCAATTTGTGCTTGAAAAGCCACATCGAGTGGGCCACATTGGCTCCAGGTGGTCGTGACACAAGAACCCAAGTATCGTTTGTAATAAGAGCATTATACTCTTCGTTCATGGCTTTATGCTAGTTTGGATCTTTCAAAGCCTAAATATGGGACCTCGGGACAGAGGGTGTCACACCCACAAACCGGAACGACGGAAACGTTCGGGGGTGGATGACGTCATATGTAGTATCACAACAAGTGTATCATAGTAATCATAATAAATACAACCATTACATTGAATACATATATGAAAAGGGTATTTACATCGGTTTGATTCTTGTTTTTATACATCAAAAGTATAATCAAAAGAAAAAGATGTGACTCTATACGCTCCGTCTTCTCAAAACTCCATGAGGTACCTGTCTACTGATTTCCTGAGAATACAAGCAGTTTTTGAAAGAATATCAGCATAAAGCTGGTGAGTTCATAAGCGATGTTTTTGTAATGAAAACCTGTTGATGACTCTGTAAAAATGTTCGTATGTTTCCAAGAAAATCCAATATTTTCTTTAGTAAAAATGTGATAATATCAGTTCCATCTATGACCACTTAGTTCATGCTAGCCATGTATAAACAAATATCGAACAGACAGTTGATTATGTGGATCTGCCCTAAGCCCACAACCAAACAAGGAACAAGAAATGAAGCGGAAACCACACATTCCACATGCTATCGAATATTCTCCATACGTAGCTCTGAAGCCTAAACTAAGGAATTATAGAATTAACTATGAATGTTTGTTACTGTATCATGTTGTACTATAGGAAAAACATTAATTTGTATGTATGGTTACTACCAATCGTAGTATGCGTGTATTCTTGTACAAAACCTTTGTATAGTATGTTTTGTTTGAAAACCCTGGCTACCACAAGTATGTATAGTATGTTTTGAATAAAAACTCTGGCTACCACCACTATTTATAGTAGTTTCATTACTTAAAATAAAACCATGTATCTTTCCATACTTATGTTAAATAAGCATTGTTCATGTAAAGTATTTTACTACGTAAATATATCGTTGTTATCTATTTGCGAGTTTTATGACCATACTAACTGATACGACGTGAATCGGACGCCAATATCCTCTATGACTTTGTCACCCGTAGACCTGCCGGTCCTACTGTAGCTAACAGCAAGGTGCGGGATTGTCAGTCCCGTATAGATCTATACACAAACTCACGCTCTCCCTCGAGGAGACTATGGTTCATAAGGGTAGTCTTCCACTAGTACATGTAATTGTACCCAAAGACGAGTCTCTCAAACTAGATTAACGACTTTACAAGTAATAATACGGAAAACCCTTTTTATAAATAACGAATAAGTTTATAAAAGATATGTTCGTTCCCTAAACCATATTCTTATAATAGTTTATATGCTTGTATATGTAAAACCGTGTATTGAATTCCCAAACTATACCTATTATAGTTCGTATGCTTGTTATGTACTTGATTTATGTATTGATCTGAAAAACTATGTATTTACACTGGTAAGTTGAATACGTCCCTTATGCTCAGCATGTTACAAAAGGGATAAAATATCTATAAATATTTTATAAAAATGTGGGAAAACGTAAGGTTGTATCCGTTTTAAGTGTATTGAAGTCCTTTTGTATAAATTCATAAAATCATTTGTGTTTGGCTTGTATTCTCCCCCTGAAAACATTAGAATCATAAAAGTATAGGGGTATGAACTCACTGTTAGTTGTGTACAAGCGTCGAATCAACGGACTGAAATGAAGACCCTCGAGTTGTAGTGTGTGGCACTTAACAGAATCCTAATAACAATTAAATACATATATGTATCTAAATTAGCGATTTCGTTAGATAAAGTGTTAGAAAAACACTTGCTTTCGGTTAAGGAATGTTACCGGGACTTGATTGAATCGAGGAAAGTGGGTTTTCAGTCTAATGCACCACTTAGGAAGTGTTTACGGTCGTGAATGGGGTTTATGGCCGTGAAGGGAGTTTACAGTCGTGAACTGTTTACGGCCGTGAACTGCCTCTCGAAGGGTTTACGGTCTTTGAAGGTTTTGAAGTGTGTACGGTCGTGAACTGGTTTACGGTCAATGAAGATTTGTAGACTTGAAGGGTGTACGGCCGTACACTCGAGAACAAAGATGTTGGATTCGATGAAAAACGTGTTCTAGATGCTCCAAATCAACTCCCAATGACGATTCTCGATGATTTTCGGAAGGATAAGGGTGTTTTTGGGGTTTACGGTCAAGAGGTAGAGAGAGAGAATGAGAGAGTTTTCGGCCAAGAAGGTTCAAATGAAGGTGGGGGTCCCGTATATATAGACTGGGGGTATGGTCGGTGGTGGGGTCCACCTGGCACCAACCGTAAACGAGTGTACGACCGTACACGGGTTTACGTCCGTAAACTCACTTAGGCCGAAA